TGCTATAGGGTGAATTCTACTAGCCCACCAGCCACATGCCTTGGACCCTACCACCTTACTTACTTCTTGAGCTTTCCGTCTCTCTTCAAAGAGAGCCCTCTGGTGCTTTTGGCAGCTTCTCACAGTGCACACACAGCAGATGCAGCATTTCTCGGTTACACAGTAAAGCTCCAAGGGCCGGCCATGACTTGGGCATAGCCTTGCCCGAGAACCAGCTGCTTTCCTCATCTCTCCTTCTGAGACACCTGGCGGGAATTCTTCCAGTTTCAGCAACTCTACCAGGTTTTCAAGCTGGACAGTTTTGCTAAGTTTGGGTCTCTCTGGAAAGCTATTTCGGCATTCAGGGCAAGTGCAGATCTTCTGGCCTTGTTCCTCTTTGTCCCAGTGGCTGTTGATGCACTTCTCACAAAAACTGTGTCCACAAGGCACAGTCACAGGGATGGTAAACATCTCCAGACAAATGCAACATGTTAATTTCTCTTCCAGCTTCTGAGATCCAGAGGAATCCATTTCCCCGGAGGAAGCAGTTAAAAGAGAAAGAGAAATAACACTCCAAACCCAAGGGGAGGTCCTAAATGTAGGAGCGAGCCTTAAAGGGGCAGAGGCTATTTGTAGTTTACACAATACAACACAGCGTTTCAGGTCATCTCAGATTGCCCCAATATCAAATGCATTATCCTTTTTGTAAGTGAAAGCTTTGGGTTTGAATTTTCTCTCCTTATTTCAAACAATCTTTAGGCCAGTGCTATCTATTTCAATGTTTAATTAGTTAACTTAATCAGTTAACTTGAGTTTTATTATTTCCTCTGAAGGTGCACCATCTGAGATCACCTACAGCTCCTAAAGGATTGGCTGAGCTCACGAGGCTTCTAAAAGTTGATAACAAATTGTAATCTTTAATAGTCATAATAGTCATAATAGTCATGGTTGGTGCATAATATCAACTATATTTATTTTAACGAAGCGTAAATGAAGTACAAACTCTAGTTATCACCCAGGCCTTCTTATTGCTTTTTAATAGTATAAGTAACCTTTGATCTGGAAGAAAAACCCTGTATGCTTCCCAGTTAGAACCAGAGATGGTTTAGGATCAGCATCTTTCAAGGTCTTTTCAAAATCAAATTGGCGCAAGATGTGTACTCATCTGGGGGGGAGGGGGAGGAGAAACTCCAGCCTTCTTGCAATTAAATCAGCAGGCGCTGAGGGTTGGCAGGCTCAGTGCCTGCTAAGCATAAAGGCCACTCTGATCAAGCAGAACATGTACAGGAGTTGGAAAAGGTAGATAGATGCCCATGTTTTGCAGGCATCTGCTAGATTATCTCCTTCAGGTTGGCACAAAAACCTCCTCTTTTTACATTGCTTGCCTTCCCAAAGAGAGCTGGTGCTTCAAGCTGCAGTCAGGAGGGGCAAAAGGGAACCAGAGTCTAGCCAAGGAAGATGGTGCTAGAGAGAAAACAGAGAAAGCTCTGGAATTTGGCATTACATTTTGGATGTTTCTCTGAGTTCTTAGTCTGGCTGGCTACATCTCCAAAGAGTCAGATTTTGTTTGCCAATCCTGTTCCAGAATGCTGAAGGGGAGAATAAACTTTAGAAACATTTCTACATCTCTGAAGTCCAACATTTGCTTTCAGTTACACGCTAGTCATGGCTCTGTCCATAACTCACTCCTCCTTGTCCCACCGAGGCGAATTCATGATTTCTAAGTATGGTTTGTTAAATCATCCGTAAATGGCTAGGATCTCACATTGTGCTAAGCATAATCCCAGAAACATAAAAACCAGAATGACTGGCCTCATACAATACCTTAAACCAAAATTAAACAAACTATGTTATGGCTCATTGTGCAGGATTTGATCCCCGTCAGTTGTGATGATTGGACTATTGGACAGTTTTCCCAAAGGAGGTTTCCTGCTCCAAGTCCTGCCCAATCTTAAACATCCTAATCCAATTTATTTATTTAGAAAATTTATATTGTCACCTACTCCCACATGATGACTCAAGGCGACTTACAAGGATATAAAAATAGCGTATAAAAAATAAAAATAATATAAATAAAAAAATAACCCCGATCCCTCCCACCCTTGCGACAACACACATTCACACTAGCCATTTTATAGGCTCCCATTTTGGAATTTTTTAGCTAGAACCTTTGTCTATATGTTTTGTTGGCTAATATGTAAAGGCTTGTTTATTTCTATAGCATTATATGTATGTTTCCAAAGGTTAACACCCAATCCATAGTGATTATTTGGACTAGTGTCCATTAGGTAAAACAGTAAGTTTGCTGGAGACTTCAGGTTTAAAAGTCTTTCCTGGAACTGAGTTGATTTCAATACAGTGATGGCAGTAACTTTTGAATCACTGACTTCAGACAAGAATGGCCAGATCAAAAACTAAAACCTCCCCAATTCTACAATTCTAGGATACTTAAGCGGACACAAACACAAATGAGAAATAATGGCAATTCATGATATTTTACCTGGTTGCTGCTTTATCCTTTACTGTGTGTCAAACACTGTTTAGCTACAAAAAGAGATGTTTTTCATTTTTTTCATAATTAAACCACAGATCTATCCATACCCTATCGAACAAAAAGTTCAAGATACCACAATTCTAATCCCCTCTAGAAGCAGAAAAAATGGCAATGCCTGCCTGAACTTACTAGAACAGATACAATACTTATCGGGCAGTAACTTTTGCAAGTGTCAAAAAAATATATTTTTTAAAAAAATAAGCAAGATCTTGCGAAGAATTCTCAGTATTCTTCTCTCAAAGACCTTGGCTAACTTTCTGAAAATTAGTTAAATTTTGGGCTTCATAGTTTAATCAATCCTAAATTACAAAAGGTCACTAGAACTTATGAAAAAGAGAAAAGAGTAACATAATGAATCTTATTTGTTAAACTGCTAGGAGACTAACAAAATCAGTATAGGACTTTTAAAAAAGTATAAATATTTAAATGTAAAATTTTACAAACTCAGGTTAAATGTAAACAATGGAATATATCTTCCTCCAAATATTGCCATATATTTTCTTTAAATTGCTGTGTAAAGCTGTTCCTGCAATATGTCTCATCCTTAATTGAATTCTGAGGGTATGATTTAAAGTAAGTTTCAAACAGCATCCACATTCATATACAGTATGTTTGCAGTTATTGGCAATGGCTTTAGATTAAAACAAAACCAAAGGAAGAAGGCTTTAATGTAAATCCATGCTAGATTGGATATGCTCATTTTTGAAGAATGGTTGAATCCTTCAGTGGCTTAATTCTTAATTGCTCCAAAAGAATGTGATTATATAATCAGGTGCTTGGCAAAGAAGTAAATCTGACCTTGATCTAAGCATAGTAACAGTAATTATAACGGCTATGAAACCAATTTTAGCAAGTAAAAGTGGAACAGATACAAAAATGATAATCAAAAAATGTTTTCAGCATGTTTCGAAACATTCAACATCTGACATAATTTTTGGATTCCTAGATTTCCTGTATGTGAACAAAAATTGATTTCATTAAATATAAAAATGCTTGTTTGGTGACCATGTCTGGCATGGTAAATCTTTCACTTAATTGTCAGTCTTAATAGCTAGTGGGACAAATCCTTTGTACTTCTGTGTTGAACTTGAAAATGGTCTTGATTTTATTTTTTCTTAAAAAATTATATGGCTGCCCCACTCACTCTCAGTGACTCCACGTGATTACAAAAATAAAAACCCAATATAAAATCCATCAAAAGCGATAACTCCCCACCCCTGAAGAATTATCAATTGTAATCATAATTGGGCCCTGAGGGGCAGTCTGGTGTAGTGGTTAAGGCACTGGGCTAGAAACCTGGAGATAATGAGTCCTCCCTTAGGCCCAAAGTCAGGCCACTCTCAGCACTAGGAAAAAGGCAATGGTAAACCAATTCTGAAAATCTTGTCAAGAAAACTGCAGGGACTTGTTTAGATAATCAAGACCGGCTCAGAAGAAAACACTCCCATACAATCTCAGTTGGAGGGTTTAATGCAGGCACAATGGAACTAGAGGGAAGGTGCTGCCCACACCTACGCAAGACTGTCCCAGCAACCTATGCCTGCAAGTGATTCCATGTGCTTCTTCCCAGGAAACTGTTTCACATATTTTGAAATCATGCTTTTCTTTCTTCTTTAATATGAAAGATAATGCATAGTCCAGCTTCTATAGCAATTGAACACTTTGCAGCATGTAATGTATTTTATTCAAATAAAAATATTTTATTCTTCAAGTTTTCTTGATCAAATACTGGGGGGAAAAAATCAGCAAAACATCTGAGACACATATACACAAGAGAGATGGAAACTAGATTTTCTTCCAAATGGGTTATGACAAGATGGGTCACTTTCAATGATATTTTATGGAACTTCTGTTCTGTTCTTTTTTTTTTTTTTGGGGGGGGGGGGGGGCCACACACACACACATTGTTCTGTTCAGTTCTCCTATGGAAATAAGTACGGTATGTTCGCCTGCTCAGTAAATGCCGTAGGTGGGTTCATCACTGTCCCTGTACCTGTCCAGGTACCTCAGAGGTTGACGGTGTGGATATTTCTTCTGGGGAGGATGATATCTGGGTGGCCGAACAAAGTCAAACACTGGTTCCTTCATGTCTATAAAAGGAAGAGAAAATGTCAGCACTTCTCAACAATTACAAACATAACAAGCTCTGGTCTTAAGATTCTTAACTCAATGGTCGACCAATTAATGGCTCATCATTTTTCTATTGTTTATCTGTTATGAACTGCAGTATTTTTTACTGTGCCTTGAAAAAGCATATGCTTCCTTCTCTTCCTAGTAAAGTGAAAAGAAATGAAAATTAATTATAAATCCATGTCCAGATTGTGGATGATCCACAGTCACATTCTGCTGGTTACTATCTGTTCTGCTTGTTTCTTGCTGAAGTAAGTTTCTGATATGTTCAGAAATTCCTGGACTAAATAATTCTGAAATTTCTACACTCAAGTTATTCTCTAAATAAAACCACTGACTGGGGTCTGGAAGCTGCACCAACTAACAGTTTATGGCTTAAAATATACCCAGTAGTACAAGACTCAACAGTCTTAGCATTAAGAGCCTCAGTGGCACAGTGGTTAGAGTGAAGTACTTCTGCTGACTGCTGGCTGCCTGCAATTTGGCAGATCGAATCCCACCAGGCTCAAGGTTGACTCATCCTTCCATCCTTCTGAGGTGGGTAAAATGAGGACCCAGATTGTTGGGGGCAATAGGCTGACTCTGTAAACCGCTTAGAGAGGGCTGTAAAGCACTATAAAGCGGTATATAAATCTAAGTGCTATTGCTATTAGTATTTCAAAAATAAAATAGTTTCAAGCTAAAGTTATTGCTTGAACTTTGAAGAAACAGAATAGGAAGAGGAACTTTTCAACTTTGGTATTGGAGAAGACTCCTAAGTACATTGTGGACAGGCAAGGGAAAAAAAAGGATTATCAAATAAATTAATCCAGGGTTCCCACTTGAGTCACGAATGACCAGGTTCAAATTATCCTACTTCAGACACATTATATGATG